TACTATTTTCTATAAAAATTTCATTGAATTTCTGCATATGTAATGTATTTCATGGGGCAAAGGGAGGCTGGGGAACGTAACTCCGCATTTTATCTATTTCTTATGGGGAAAATTGATTCCATTAACGTCACGGTTTTCAATAACGGAACCACGACGTTAAGCGAGAACTTACTGTATTAGGTAAGGCGTATTCTTGATGTCAAACAAATGAAAGATGAATTGCCTGTAGTATACTGACGTGGGGTTTATGAATCATTGTTTCCCACTTTAGAGGTAAACTTGCTTCTGAGGATCCTTTTGGGGATTTGGTGACACAGCATCATAACTTAATTAATAAATCAGTCATGGTCTATGACGGCTCAGGGGGGTAAAATCTGGGGTTATGCCTCAGAACACGAGGACGTACACGATGTCCAGAAATTACCCGACCCATTTAAAAGGTAATAACCTCAAAAATATTATAGATACAACATAATGGCTCTAGTAAACATTATGGCAACACTTTGATGACTAACCACAAATGCAGAGTTACAATTCAAGAAAATCAGTAATATTACAGTAGCAGTACAGTACACAGATTACCTGACAAACTTGGAACCAGAAATGAACTAGATGAGAGAATTTTTCCAAATTTTGCAAATATACATAAAATATTCAATAAGTACAGTGAGAAAATGTACCCAGGAGTAAGGGAATAATAATGTGAAAAATTTTAAAACCTCAATTAAAAAGAAGAAAAAAAAAAAACCTTATTATCTGTTAAACTACAGTAATATATAAGTAGTATTTTTTTATACAAATAACATATTACACTTGTATTCAATGTAATTTAATGAGCTTTTCTTTGAGTAAGAAAGTACAGTACAGTATTTCCATAAACTACCGTACTGATCAACCTGCGATAAGTCTGCCTCATCTCTTATGGTTTTAGGGTATTTAATAATGTTTATATTTAACGTGTCTTAATTTATTGTGCAAATTCTTCAAAAATAAAACTAACCAACATTAAATACTGTATCTTACATTTTGTTACTCAAAAGGAAAGGATGGACACAGCTGAATAACTTGGCAGGAAAGGTGGAGAATACTGTACTGTGTTGGTACTCACTGCTGATTGGCTAAAACAATTAAATTTAACAAGCATCTTGACACTCATTGGTTAGATACCCACTGACGAAAATAATGGTACATCAGGCATGGGAAAAATAACCCAGAACTTTTTAAAACATAACATTCATCAATATTTCTTAACATCTCTTTGTGTAAACTTTCATATATAAGTTCAAGTGTTCCCCCCCTCAGAGTGTTTCTACAAGGTCAGTTTTATCATTGTGTGGGTGTACAGTACAGTACTTACATCGTATAAGGGCATTAACCTTTTTTTACCTCACAATATCTGTCCGCTTCAAATCGCTGGCAACCAAAATCAAGCGTAACTTAAAGCAAAACGACGTTAAGCGGGTAATTTTCCCTCATAAAAATACATGTAAATATGAAGGACGGGAACCACTAAAGCATTTACGTAGACGATGCAAAGCAAAGCGGGACAATTTCTGCCATAAGAATAATATAATATGGTAGGAATAGGGACCAGGTTTTTAAGTCGTTTTCTACTTTTACAAAAATAAAGTATTTATGATATACTTCAGTAATAACACAAACAGATAAGCATTTCTAGAGGAGGAAAGCACATATAGGTGTTGATCATTATACTATGGATCAACAGTAAATACGAGTCATCAGTTTTACGATGTTAAAAAATAAACACCATTTACTGCTACGTAACGGCTAAGATCAGTTTTACGATGGTCACTACCCCGAATGCCATGAAAGTCATGTTCAATAACTCTCAATATTGTTCCTGTGGTGTACAATAATTTTAAACATCATTTTCAGAAGATTTAACCTTAGCCTATAAATTTATTTCTCTTACCCTAAGGAGTGGAGGAGTTCACCTTGTTTACTACGCTTTATAACGTCCAATTTAATATACAGTGTAACACTCATTCACCTCTTCTTCCCCTCCCCGCCTACACTATGCCTGTCATTCATTACTGAATGACTGCAACGATAAATCTAGAGTCGATGTTGAATGAGAAACTCAACCGCTACTCATAGAACACAATGGGACTGAAATTCAAGCTCCAATGTTGTTTATTGTAGTCAAATGAGTAAAACACGATGTAATGATGATAATTCAGGGAATAACATATAGCGTGACGACACACAGTGAAGACCCCTCGTACTGGATAAGAAACATTACTACCTTAACTACCTACTTTACAACATTTCACCAAAACACTTTCTTACCTCATGAAATTGAAGAAAGTTGCACGAGTAATACATTTTGCGTAAATCACTTGTACACTTTTTACATCTTTTGTCTTCGGAAAGAACTCCAAAACCCACCCATCATGTGTGCCGAAAATACCAGCACCAGTTCATTTATTTTTTAGGATATAAAAATATACGGCAATACTGTATAACTGCAGCATTTCATGAATGATTAATTACTGACATTCCCTCTTTACCCGACTGTTAACATTCACAAAGTACCGGATAAAGTGAACCAAATTAACCTACCTTACCTAACTTAATCTAACCTAAAATACCGCCTAACAATACAAAAACAAATTCACAATAAAATATTTCCTATAGGTACACTGTACATTGTTCGATATGGTAGACAACTATAACAGCAGTAAACTCAAAATCAGTCACTTTATCCAAGAACAGGTTAGATGTGGTGTGGAAGACTCGGGAACAGATATTAAATTTTAAAGCCAAGACAGATAACAAAACATTGAGAGGAAGTCATGACCATACAAATGTACAGTCGGTAAAATATATATCGACCACCTCAAGGACGGTGGAATATAAAATGAGCGATGACAACCAGATGAAGCCAGTCACCACAGGTACACGTTTATAGTGTTTCATATTATTACTCTCGGTGACACAGGTGTAAAGCCTCTACCACAGTGGCCAGATAATACACCTTAACCATCTCAACGGTGAATCGGTTATTTGGGTTAATATATACGACTAACAGGCGGGCGAGTTATTTTTATTAGTTTATTTTCTTACAATATTTTATAATCGGTGAGTTCTGATATGATAAGCGTTTATTGTGGAACTCGCCAACACAGTAAATCACTCCGCCGCCCGGGGTGAATAGCGTCGATGCGGCCGTATCATCTCGCGTCCAGAAAATGACGCAAATTTCACCATATCATAGTTAGTTCTTTCTGTTTAATATACTGGAGGTCCGGCCGGTAAGGTTAGGTAGGTTTGTTTTTCATACCCACAAATATTAAGTAATGTTTATTTTTAAAATATCCATTTTTTTTACATATTTCCACACACTACAACAGTGTCCACTATAATATAACAATGAAAATCCGGCGTTTTTATAAATGTTTTCAATCAATTTCGTTCGCAGGTTAGTCCTATATAATTGCCGTTATTTTTATCGGTAAAATTATCGTTTTGGTCACCCGCCAATTTCGAAACTCTTCATAACACATCGGAAAAACATAATTTCAACCTAAGTGTTTATTTGACCTTAACTTTAACAAATTAAGAGTAATTACGTCTGCTCTCTCTCTCTCTCTCTCTAAACAGGAAGAGCGTAAATATTGGGTGACATATCGTTATCCAGAGAATAATTAACATACAATAACATAAGTAATTGTATACGCGTTGGCCAATATTCTCACTCTTCTTTTATATTCTTATTATTACTGTATTTTATTCTTGACGTTGACATGTCGGAAGAAGAAATTCCTGACGATGTCAGCCACTCCGTAGAACAAGTTCGTTGTACCGGAAGAAGGACCAGAGAGGAGCCCCGAATTATATACTGTACACTAACTGATTTGTTTAGAAAAAGCTGGAGCTGGAAAATCAATGTTTTTATGCATGTCTATATTTTGTTGACTTAAGACCAATTTAAACGTTTCCATCGCCCAGTTCATAAACTGAAACTGCCAAACCTATTAGCCTGAAATCTGTAAATTGCAATAAAGTTATTCTAAACCACAGTGTGAAATATGTACTTGTAGTACAATGTTTGTGTGACGGAATAACATAACTTATGTAATAAAAGGCAACCATTTTAAAGCCTGCATTACATTTCCCCATTTCACTGCTTTTTCCTACAAGATTTACATAATTTGTTTTTGTAATCATACAGCTAAAACGCATGGTATATATACTAATAGGTATGGATTATCTCTTGAATTGGGTGTAAGTCTCGGGTAGGAGGTGACCCTAACCCAGGGTATGGTATACCGTCGGTTAGAACCACTGAGAGGAAAAAACCCGAGTTGATAATGCAAAAATGTTCTCATAAAACCTTCTTCATGCATCAAATCACTTACAGTACAGGAAAACGAATTCATTTTAATGTACTTAAATAAAATAAAAGTAATGCTTTACCAGGAGGTAATATCGGGTCTAAAGGCCTACACCATGGAAGTCATCAGGTAAGACGGATATTGACTTCCATATCAAAGTTAGTTACCATCATTTGATAGATTCTCATGTATTAAAACATAATAAAGCAGATGTAGTGGTATAAACTGATAAATGGGGAAGAAATACGTGAAAATAAAGACTCACGAGACTCGAAGGATGCGCGCCATGGTCCTCACAGGTGTTTGAACAACGTCTCTCACTGGTTTGTTGTTAACTCGGTCGTTGGTTCCTTTTTATCATTAATATCAAATTAATTAATAAATTTGTTGTTCATAATTAGTAATACTATTTTTTATAATTTAATTTTATTAGTTTTATAGTGATTAATATTGTTTTATTAGCTATAGATTGTGAAATATAATGAAACATTTTGTATCACTCGGAATAAAATAAATGGAACTATTACAATGCTTATCAGTATTTTATATTATTGTTTGAAATTTATTCTAATAAAATTTATTAATTAGTGTCGTATTTTATTAGTTTCAGTTTAATGTGTGGTAGAAGACGGGTGTGAGGTGATTGCGTCACTAAGCAGCCTGGAGGACGAGTAGGGCGACGCAGCTCCTCAGTCACCCAGCTGTTGCCTGTGGTAGAGGTTGTACTGTGACCTCTCCCTTCCGTCCAAGTGATATCTCCCATGTGCTGATCCAAAAAACCATGAGAAGCTTTGAAGACAGGACAAAGATTAATTCTATTAGATAGCCGAGACTTATAAAATAGAACGATAACCCCAAAAAGAAACAATGAGTCGTAACAAGAGTGCGAGGAACCCATTGGCTGGGGTGAGGTATGAGCATCTCGTGGCTGGGGTGTCTGGTGGTGTGGCCTCTACCCTCATCCTTCATCCCCTCGACCTCCTCAAGATCAGATTTGCCGGTGAGTGATGATTAGACATTTTTTTCTAACTATTTTAACCTTTTTTACAGATTCCGTGGTTGGTTTTCACTCCATTAATACCACACCAGTACCCCTTATACCAGCACCCCTTATACCTGCACCCCTTATACCAGAACCCCTTATACCAGCACCCCTTATACCTGTTTGTACCGGATCAAACTTATCTCCTGGAATTTTTTTTTCATGTATAATTCCCGGAATGGACTGAGGCGCTGGCGGAGAATTTTGTCATTATTTCATGGATGTTGTGTGATATCTATTGATATAAGTTATAATTCTCCACTCCAGCTTATTTCACCTGAAGATTAATCACCCTAACACTATTTGGAGGATGTTGGGGTAGTTAATCGTTAGGTTAAATAAGCTTGGGTTATCCAATATTTACATAAGAAAATAAGGAGTCTGCAATAGGCCGGTTGGCCTGTGCATGGCAGCTCCTGTCGAGAGTTACTACCACTCTCTATCATCCATGAACCTATCTAGCCTCCTTTTGAAACTTTCCAGCTTTCCAGCACTTACTACAAAGTTGCTAAGCTTGTTCCACTCGTCCACCACCCTATTTGTGAACCAGTTTCTTCCTATCTCCCTCCTAAACCTAAACTTATCCAACTTGAATCCGTTGCTCCGAGTCCTATCCTGCTCGGATATTATAAGAACTTTATCTATATCCCCTTTATTGATTCCTTTCACCCACTTAAATACTTATTTATTTCCCTCCAATTTTATGCCTTTACTGTAATATTTATTTGATTCTTGAAATAATCCTGTTTGACTTTTCCAGAAGGTTAAGTCGGTATAAAAAATAATGAAAACTGGAATTTTATCATTTATTGCATACAGTAGAATCTGGATATTGTATGAGTGTGAAGAAACTCCTTTAAATACTCTACTGTACGCTTCTTCTGAATTCTCCGCTTGTTCCAGTTTATAAAATATAATCTCGCTGAATCATTCTCCGTGTACTATGGTTAATAAAAAGGTACATGGTAGGCAGACTGTACAATACTACGTTAGTTAAAAGTTAGGAAAATGGCCTTGTTGACTAAACCAAACCTAACGACACGTCCGTACCTGTACAATATTTAGTGGGATTTTTGGCTAATGGCTCCAGCTGCCGTATCTTTATTCACTGCATAATAATAATATGCGGAGAATGCAGAACCATTCTCCGTGTACTCCAGTTAATATGAATAAACTATCTCTGACCTGTTGACTTATTCTAGCAGGAGCGGCCAACTTTTTGACAAATGTACTATTCTTGTTAATTCAGTCATTAGACTCAGCAGTGGTTGATTCATTTGCTGTAGGGACCAGTGACCTATCTACTTACAGTTCTGAAACAAGATGAGGCACGTTGGTGAATCTCCCGGCCCACCCACCAGAAAGTAATGCTTGTGCGCTGCTTTGGAATATTTCACTTTTGCTATTGAGGGTTCTTAGTATATACTATAGTAGTCTTTGGTTCAAATTTTCTTGTGGATTCAAGCTTGACTGATTCTTCCAAGTTCTATGATATCCTTTGTAAAAAAAAAAATTATTGTATCCTGAAAAATTTCCCCCATTTGCTTCACCGGAATATCAACTGCATTTAAAGTTTCCTAGGGTGGTTAGGTCAGCTTAAGGGGTGGTTCAATATGAGGTAAAATAAGCTGGGGGGGGAATCTTCGGGTGCTCCGGAAAGTTTGAGAATTAAAATAACTAATTTTTAATGCAGGTCACCGGATTACAAACAGATATGTACGTAAGTCAGAACACGTGCTATGTACAGTATATACAGTAGTGTACTTATGGAACAATGTTTATAATCCCACTATATCATAGCTTAAGTCCTTATATACACCTCAAATCACTTAATTTAAGACAAAAGAAGAAATAGAATGATAAAATACAGTAAATTAAAGTAAAACATGTCCGGTAAATAAAATAGTGTACTGTAAATTTCAAGTTTAACTCCGTTCGTATGAGTGGGCGTTTGTAAGTCAGGGACCCCCTGTATAGTAATACTCTGGGAGATGGGTGTGTGTTAACCAGCACCTTTGGGATATTAATCTATGAAAGATAACTTCTTTCTTACCTCGAGAATAATCCAAAACGAGTGGAGGATTTACACTTCTCTGTTATCCCAAGGCACGTACACTGGTGAATGTATGGTATTGTACAGTGTGTCTTGGTTTTAAGGCGGATTTTTTTTGTACATTACAGTTCAGGTACAGTATATATTTTAGCGGACATTTTTTATATAATAGAAGCTTGTAAGAATCTTCAACAAATGTATACTGGTTCAATATTGCCCACCTAAATTTTTCAAGGACAGTTTCATTTAAGAAAAATATACAGGCAACCCCCCATATTTATGGAAACATTTTAAATTAAATAATTTCCTTTGCTTGGCCAAAAATGTAAGCACTCTTGAGTAATAGTGACTCCGTGAGCAGGGTGGCTGCCACAAGGGGTGTGGCTGCTGCCCCTGTCTCCTATTCTTTTGAATGTTAGAAGATGCCTAATGCCAGTATAGTATGAATGATGAAAATAAGCAAATACTGTACTGTAGATTTAAAGAGCCGAGAGGGAAACAAGATGAACTACTGTATGTGATAGACAGGCTAGAGATCTTCTAGAACCTGCAGACTGTACCGAGGTTGGTAAATGATAGAAAGAATATAAACCATGGATACTGCACAGTACAGGTACAGTACTGTACTCTAAACTGCAGATGGTAAATCCATGGTGACAAAGTGATATTAGCCGCATATTGCACAGAGGCCCAGATTAGTACATGTATTTACAGAGTAGTAATCAATTTATCTGTACTGTATTTAGTTGTCCCGTATTGATTCAAATTATATAGTTTGTTTGCATGACACACTGTACTGAATAGAAGATAACATACAGTACAGGTTAGTGAGCTGCTTCAGTATAACTAGGAACAAGATCATATCAAGATGTGGAGGTAATTGTGGATCCACTTTTCTCATCGCTGTAAACACTTTAGTTTATGCATTATTGTACAGTTTCCTGAAATTCATTTTGTGAGCATTTTTGTTGTAAACATTTCCAGCATTTAAACCGTCTTGTAATAGACTGTTAGTCTTCAGATAATACGGCCTGTTTCCGAATGACTTGAATTTTGTTTTCTTTTATTGGATATACTATACAAATAAAATTTGTATTTTAACTACAGAATAAGTTGTTAGTTATCCCAAAGTTGAAGTTATGTAGTGTTCTATTATATTTATACAGTACTCTCCCTTACTATCTAAGCAGTAGTGTTGGGTAGAATGTCATAGATGAGGTCATATGATGTACACATACTGTACAGCCCCACCTGGGTGTGGACTCCTGGGGTGGGTTTGTTATTCAGCCCAGGCCGACAGTGATGCTGGAGGCTGATTTAGTGGTTAAAGTAAGATATTACTTGTCATTCTGCCCAATGCTTTCATTCTTAGTACAGTACTGTATGTAGTAAAGTTAAACAAATATAGTTTACAGGAATTATTTGCAAAACATCATGCTTGGGATTTTGAAATCATGTGCACTATTTATACTGTGTAAACTCCTTAAGAAAACACACTTAGAGTGTGGTTAAATGTCTAGAATAACTAGTGAAGTAACAAATAATAGCTGCTGCCCCTGTTTGCATATACTGTAGCTACCTGGGCACTATTGCTCAAAGATACTGTACTCAATGTTTGGTGTCCCAGTACTGTACTGTTAACAGAAAGGTTATTTGTACAGTACAGTAGTTGGGAAGATCTGATTACTTAAGTGTGAACTAAACCCTGCATTTACTGCTGCCACAGAAACTAGACTAGGTACAGTATAATGATATGGATATATAAGCTCATATTTGGCATCAAACCAATGATGTTTCATAATGTTGATGAGTAAGACGCCAGTAAAATTTACATACGAGGTTACATACCAGACTAAATACTTACAACAAAAATATAATCTTGCATTCTAAATAAAGTAGGCATAATTGGGCCCAGAATTCAGTTTTATTCTTCATAACCTGGTTTTGTATGAAGGTGAAACAAGGGTGATGACTTGTGGCTCACGTGTGGCATGCTAGTTGGCACAGTGCTGGGTTATGCTGAATATTGGCAAGTACTAAGGCTCTCCTGGGATATGTGGCTTTGTGTCCCTGCCAGCCACCACCCACTACTGTAGTTAAGAATTGTGTTTTTATTTTTCCCCGGCTTATGGAAACAATTTTATTTGATCATAGTAAATATTTCAGTTTTCTAGTTCAAAAGATTGTCATATGACATGTTCATATGTGGACCACGCTTGCCTCTTTGGTTGTTTGAATGTGAATACTTACTGTACAATAGTAGAGTTTGATCATTGAGGAAGATTATTCAAATTCACACTACAAAAGAGTGAATGAATGTCTAGTGTCAGTTTATAAGGAAACTATGGGGAATTTCAGGTTTTCGATGATTCTGGCATACGGTTTAGCGGATTTACTGTATATATCATTAGTACACTGATATTACGTTTGGTCTGGTGCTTGTGGAGGCTAAGGAATTTCAATTCTTTTGTCTTACATTTAATTTTACTAATGTTTTGTGTATTTTCTGGTAATCATGCTATTTAATTACTTAAATGATTAATTAATACATTGTATGCTTTTCTTTTCTATAGTGAGCGATGGTACGGCGTCAGCCAAGCCTCACTACACGGGTTTGACGCAGGCAATGAGTGAGATCTTCCGGCATGAGGGCATAAAAGGACTCTACCGCGGCGTCACTCCTAACGTGTGGGGCGCCGGGTCTGCCTGGGGTCTCTACTTCCTATTGTAAGTACTGTACCCAGTGTGAGGATTCTTCAGTAAATACCGTACATCACTACTGGGGGATTATCATGTAGATTCTCTTTCCTCGTGTGATTATAGTGTAGGGGACATATTTTCACTAGAAACACGTACACAATATTCTCAATTTATCACTGGATATATCTCATCTTTAGACTAACTTAGTAATCCATATTGGGGTACTGGAAGCTAATTCTATGGATGTAACTTTATTTGTTGTGTTTATTATTATTATTAAAGTACTTTGTCGTGTACTGCCATGGTGTGTGTTATAGAATATGTTGCTCGGGATCGCCAGGTACAGTATGTGACTCAGATTTGCCATAATGGAGCCATTCCTATTTCAATATTTACGAAAGAGACAATATCATTTGAAAGTTCTTGTCAGCTTTTCATTGAAGAATGTTTTAGTTGGCGTTTTGCTGCCTTTAACTTATTGTGTCACTTAAAATATTGTTATTACATCAGTTTCATCATTACGACACATTCCTTGTTTCGCCGAGTGTACAGTAGATGACAGTTGCAAGGCTTTGGCGTGTACCTGTACTCATTTTAGTTCGCTCCCATTAAATTGAACATTATTTGGCACACACACACACACCCCTGTGGAAGTTTGCCCCAGGTCCGAGGACAAGTTATATATAATCCCCCAGCTCGCCTTCCCGCGCGGCCACCAGGAAGCAGTTAAAAGTACTACAACCAGTGTACAATTTGTGATCTGGCCGGTGGTTTTCTCTCGGGTCCAAGTATCTGTACACGCAAGATAAAAATACTGTATGTTGTATATAAACACATCAGTTTATTATACACGGGTCATTCATTAGTAACCGCACATTGTATAATTATAATGAGTAGCACATTTAATAAGCAGATGTTGTCAGGTAGCATGGAGCTTTGTGTGATAAATGGCGGGTTTCGTGTTACACAGTGTTGGATAAAACCGGCTACCTTGACGTCATTCAAGGTTCGATTCCTGGATCTTGAGATCAGTGACTCGCTGTTCTAACCTGCTGTAGGAAAAAAAGTCACCAACCAAGTCAAACCTTTCTTTGTCCTATGACTTTTATGCTCAGTTGTGATTACTTTTTCTGGACGCCCTTAACAAATACAATATTGTACAAACACAGAGGCCTTTTATAGTAGTGGAATTAAACTTAATGGTAAGATACGTAGCTTAAAGATAGTATAATTTATTTGTTTTGTGAGTTTGTCTTTTATAAAACTAGCCTGTGAAGCCCCTCAATACCGTTTATTAAAGTAGTAGTAAGTGTACCTTAGTTGAGGGAACTATCCAGAACGTCAAAGGTTATAAGCGCTTCCGTCTGGACCAGCGTTTTAATATCAGGCGAGATACAGTGATGGTCTCCCGCCCTCCTTCCCCACTACCCGGGACCAAGGAGTGTCATCACAGCACCAGTTGCTACCGCTGATTGGCTGCCTGCTCTTGGCTTCACACGACAGCTGCCAACGTTTCCTCCTGCAGGTGTCAGAGGCGATGTTACATGTTTAATGAGTTAATTTTTCTGTATTCCTTTGTAGGAACTTAAGATCCTAGGCGCGGTGTTGCTTTTTTCTTTCGCTGCTGCACTAGGAAAATAATTATAGGAAAATTTTAATTGTCCAACATTTATTCATGAAATTGCAATGGGTTTTACTTTAATAAATATGAAACTAGGGTACTGCTATAGCGTGCGGTTTTAGTTGTGTTAAATTTGCTAATCGATAACACACGTTTAAGAGGTTTGATTGGAGATTGCTGGGAACTGAACGAAAAAAATTCTTTGTCCAAGGTTAGGACCGGGTAGTAGCCACACAAAGTTGAGTAATGGTGGTGAAAGTACATCATTTGGTTTTGGGTACGGACTAGGGAGAAACAGCTGGTAGAGTACGCGGGTGGGCGAGGGAGTCTTGAGCTCTTGACGTTGGCAGAGAGAGAGAGGGAGGGAGGGATCATGTCATTACGCGAGAGGAGGGATGACACGGTACTTTGTTTGAGATAATTTGTTGTTGGCAAGCAGGGCAGTCAGGAGGGAGAGGGTTTTGGGGCGATGACCACCACGACCCGTCTTTCCAGTTGTTTGGTCAGTTGCTAGGGGGACGGTTCCTGTTTTTGAGGTGTGGCTGTCTCCGTGCTGGTGCATTTTATGTCCTGGCGATGTCTGTCCGTATGATTATCACGACGTTATCTTAAATAGTCAATAATGTCTGTGTATGGGTGTTGGTAGCGTTCATTCTCCATGCAAGACTGTCGCTCATCTGTCGTCAGGGAGTTATATATATATGCGTGTGTGTTGCTGAGAAGTGTATTATTATCTAGATACCTGTTCTGGCTGCTGTATTTGGTGACTGCTAATGTTGTTTGAATGGAGTTGCTATCGTTATGGGACTGTTATCGTCATGATGTTGCTATATTGCCTGTTGCTTCAGTTAGTGGCGGTGGTGTGACTGCTATATTTGACTTTTGATCCCTCGCTGGTGGGTTAAATGTGGGTGCATTTGTCGCGTGATTGTTCTGGGATGTGATGATAATGAAGTTGTATTCGGGAGTGTGTTTGGTCGAGGGGATATCTTACTTGTGTTATGGATAAGTAGGCCGTAATAGGTTCTTTTGCCGACGAACCTTTGACGTCATTGAAACAGACGTCAAGTTGTTTTGGAATGTGAATTACTGTACATACCGAGGCCATTATTCACTCAGATAACACATGATTTAGAGGCTATTATTATTACAGAACTAGGCCACACTCGTTCTGCTGGGAATATACTGTACGCACTTGAGGCCATACGATAAATAGCACGAAATTGGAGGGTATTGATTATATGTTTAGCCCAGCCTCATTACCCGCCCTGCCTGCCTGCCTGCCAAGCTCGCCGGGTTGTCACTCCTCAAGATCAATATTAGGTCACGTTGGTTTATGAGCTGTTTGGTATAACGTTACGTTTTATTCACTTTATTTTTTTATTTTATTTTAATGCAATTGTTGTTTTGTTACTAGCTTATTATAGTAAAAGAATGCCATTGATAGTAAAAAAGTTTCATGTTTTATCACTCGTTTGCTGGTCGATGTGAATGCCAGGGCCGCCAGAGAGAGAGACAAGGGTCTAACATACACTACTTAGCTCGACGACGGAGACCAGCTGCTGTGCCTGGGTTGCTAGGTGAGATGAGCAAGCGGGGAGAGGACACACTCTCTCTCTCTCTTTCTCTCTCTCTCTCTCTCTCTCTCTCCTTCCTTGTCTAGTTATGGGCAGGTGTGATGTGACTGAGTAATACAACACCTTATTCTGTGTAGTATCTGGTCTGATTAACTTTGGACCCGACATACTTTTCTTCGTAAGTTTGTTGCTATTTATACAAGTCTATCTGCATTATCACCATGGCTACCTCTTGCAATTTATATGATTACACTATCTACGTTATCTTCCCTTTGTCACTTCAGTGTTGGGGTGAATTGTAGGGCACAGGACATACAGTAGATTCTTGGAGAGAGGGGGAGGTTGGGCAGAGAAAGGGTGGGGGAGGGGGGAGGTTGGGCAGAGGGTGGGGAGAGGTTGGGCAGAGAAAGGGTGGGGGAGGGAGGAGTTGGGCAGAGAAAGGGTGGGGGAGAGGTTGGGAGGGTGGGAGGGAGGAGGTTGGGCAGAGAAAGGGTGGGGGAGGAGGAGGTTGGGCAGAGAAAGGGTGGGGAGGAGGAGGTTGGGCAGAGAAAGGGTGGGGGAGGAGGAGGTTGGGCAGAGAAAGGGTGGGGAGGAGGAGGTTGGGCAGAGAAAGGGTGGGGGAGGAGGAGGTTGGGCAGAGAAAGGGTGTTAGAGTGGTCGTTATTGATCAGTTAATTGAAAACTAATGGAGAGTTGGACTTGATGAAGGTTACATGCCCTGGACCGTTAACAGGAGGAGTCAGGTGGATAATATATTGATTTAGGTGACAACAGATGATGACTTGTGATTTAAGACACGTGTAGGATCCCGTCTCAGAGGTCACACACACCATTTGACCTTTGAGGGTATATTGCGATACAGTATACGGAACTCAACAAGGTGAAACTACTACTGTGTTATTTCCGGGTGGTATAGTAATGATGCGTATATTGTTGGAAGTACTAATTGGTGAGGCTGGAAGCGATTCGGGCGGGCAGTGGCAAGTAGGTACAGTAGTTCCTAGTGTGCGTGTCCTTGGTGACTCGGCTCTACTTCTGCCCGGCCCTCTTCCTGTTCTCTATCTCTCTCCCTCTCTCTCCTTGTATTTTCTGGCGGGTTTAGGTTAGGTTAACTTTAGAGGTGGTTAATCCTACGGTGAAATAAACTGGGGTGTCTAGTTTGCAGGTGCTATTCCGTGTTCTGTTTATCTTCGTCTATGATAAGGCTAACAGTGTTTTTCTTTGCATCCTTCCCCCCCCTCCCCAACACCCCTCCACACTGCCTCCTTGCCCACTACCCTCCTCCACACTACCACACCCCCTGTTCCCGTTTTTTTTGTTGCTGGTCTAGCTTTGGACTGGTACGGTGCTCCACGTGTGTGTGTTATATTACCTCTGGGTACACTCTCGCTGTTGAAGTTGTTCTAATTTTCATCCACTCGAACAATTTTTTTTTTTCATGTGTAGAATTTTCGAAACCTAATACCGTACTTGTTTTAGGGGCGCCGGAAGAATAGCTGTATGTACTATGTTTATTTGACGTGAGGGTCAACCACCCCAATGGTAATCTAACCTTATCATAGTCCCGTTAATGATATGATATCCTTAAAAAAATTAGAATTCAGCTCGTGTCATCCTGTTGTGATATCCTACAGTCATCGATCCTCTGTATATTGTGGTATCCTAATGTGATATCCTTGGGGAGTAAATGGTGGTATTGGATGTTGTTGAGATATCCTTTAAAAACAGCTCTAGCCTTGTTATCTCGTGATATCCTGCAGTCAAAGATCTAAAGTTTGTTGTGACATCGTGTTTGATATCCTTGGGAGTGTTGTGTTGTGTTGCAGAGA